TTTCCCACCACACCACACCTCTCCCTGGTCTTTCTCTTGCCTTGGTTTTATCTGCCCTGCACATTTCCTTTTTTCCCCTTTTTTTTCTAGGCTACTTGACTCACCTGGCCGTGCAACCCGGGCAAGTCGCCTGGGGGTCACCTGCACGGAGCAACCCCGTGCAAGAAAAATTCAGCTTTTCTTTTTTGCCTTTTTTTCGTGGGTGGAGGTTTTATGAGCATAGCCAGAGGAGCCCCAAACCGGGCTCCTTTCTTTTTTTTTCCAGCGTTGGCTGTCAAGGGGATGCTTTTAAGGGGCGAAAGGGGTTTAAAGAGTCTGATTCTGTTGTTTTCCTGTTTATCTTCATTTTCGTGAGGAATTCTGATGTGACCGTCAGCCACAAATCGTTTGTATTGCAATTCTACACAAACATTTTTTTTTTTTGGAAATTTTTTTGTTCTTTTTTTTGGGGCGCTGGGTCTGGCCGGAACCCTGCCCGGGATTCATGCCCGGTCGGACATCTGGGCACGTACGCGGGAGCAAACTGGGTGCCCGGCGCGCGGACAAACAGCCTGTTTTTTTCCCTTTCTTCTTTTCCCATTCTTTACTTTTTTTTTTCTTTTTTTTTCCTTTTTTTTATTTATTTTCTTTTCATTTTCTTCCTCACCTCCTATCAAGCTCCACCTGCATGTCAGCCTCTGACAAGGGGATCTGTGGTGGGCATCCGTCAATCACACAGCCCACTCCTCCACCGTGGGATTCGCCGAAAGTAGTGACTCGGAAAAGGGTACCGAATGAGCTCCCTGTGCCACCGGCTCGGACACCTGCCTTATTTCAATTCCAAGAGAGAAGACAGAGGGTGGTTGGAAATAAGATTGATATATTCTGAAAATAATAAAATATATTATTATTTACAAACCGAATGCCTCTGTTTATTGCCTTTTGTTTCTTTTCCCCCTTTCATTCGTCAGTTCGCAGTCCTCATTCTTAGTCAGAATGCACGTGGAAGTGCGGATGGTGGGCATGTGCGTGCGGTGTACATGAAGATGAAGCCATCCAGGTGCATTCTGACGTAGGCATTTGCATAAATAAGCCAATTGACAGAGAATACATGCAATTCATATCAGACCAGGAAAAAAAAAAGTAAAAAAAAAAAACTTAAAATAAGTTTAAAACAGTTTTGGAAAAAAAAGGGGGTTCTTACGATCGCAGAGAGCTCACATTCTCCACAGCGTCGGTTGCCAGAACAGACCAAATACCAGTCGATCACAAAACCAAAAAAAAAAACACGAAAAAAAAACCGAGTCGATCATAAGATGCACGCCCAGCATTACGGCTGCTCGATATGTTTCCTAGCGATCATTGGATTTTGAATACTCCCTTGATCTAGGCTACCAGAGTGGCCCGGGTCCACTTGCCCGACCGGGCCAAAAAGAAATTAAAAAAAATAATAATAATATATTTTTTAATTAACATTTTTATTTTAAATTTGGTAAAGAATTTTGATTTTAACCTAAGGCAAAAGTTGTTCAGTTTATTTTTCTGCATAACATAGTTTTTTTCCAGATTTTTTGGATTTTTTCTTTTTTTTGGCTGGGACCTTCCCTGGTGCTTGCACGGCCGGGCCGCACAGGAAATTAGGGTGACCCGGGCAGCCCGGCTGGTATCCTAGCCCTTGATATATTTTTTTCTTTTTTTTTGCCGTACGTTGAAGGATCTGCTTAACAACAATAGCACTCTTCTAATTAAACTCAACTCCCTATAAATACCCCCGAGCGACTTTTTTTTTCCCCATCGTTCTCTCTGTCTGTGTATGTGTGTGTGTCCGTGTGTTATTTCGGACCAAACATTTAATTACAGGCACAGATTCTCTGTGACTTCTGTCACTCTTGGCAATCGCCGAATGCCGAAATTTGTGAATGGACGCAACGAAAAGAGACGGCATGGGGGGGGGGGGGGGGCTGGGGGGGGGGGGGGGGGGGGGAAAGGTTTGGAAGAGGGGGCAGAAGTGGGGAAATCGACGCAAACATACAAACTCAAGATTCCCAAAGGCAAAAAAATCATAGATCAGGGACCCTAGCCACTTCCATCCCTAATTATAGTTTCAGCACCACACTGATCGGGCCCTTGAACCTGGTCAACAAGGCTAAAACCAACCTATATTGGAAAAAAAAAAACAGAATTACGGATGGGAAAAAAACAAAAAAAACAAAAACAAAAACGGATTACGGATGGCGGGGGTGGCGAGGATCACTGAACCTGGTTGATCCGATATGATCTCTACCTTAATTCTAATTCATTTTCATCGATCGAAAAAAAAAAGAAAAACCAAAATACAGTGAGTTTTATAGCGACCGCCATAGCCATGGCTATCCGCATACCCGTGTCTATCGGCGGCACAGCCATGGCTATCCGCATAGCCGTGTCTATCGGCGGCACAGCCGTGGCTATCCGCATAGCCGTGTCTATCGGCAGCACAGCCATGGCATGGCCTATGTCATGACTGTCGGCACAGTGATCGCTATACGCATAGCCGTTTCTATCAGCGGCACAGCCATGGAATCGTCTATGTCAGGGATATCGGCACAGCCATGGTCGAAGCCATGGCCGTGAAGATGGATATGTCCGTGTGCGGCTTTTCCTGACAGAGCCACGTGGCCAGGCGGCAAACACAGCAATAAAAAAGGACCCGCACCCCAGAGATGGCTTTGTCCATAAAGTTTGATCATACAAACCTTTACAACCTCACGCACAGGTATGGAGGTCAGAAGGAAAAGGACACCCATTCTATCCATATGGCCGGAATCAATCATATACTCGCTTGGTCAATTTGTCCATCCTCATCGACATTATGACGGCGAATAATAAATTTACAGTCTAATTACAACTCGTTCTCCAGGCACTGCAGCTTCACATACCCTTCCATCCCCTTCCCCCTCCAGGCCATCCTTGGCATCTCTCTCTCTCTCTCTCTCTCTCTCTCTCTCTCTCTCTCTCTCTCTCTCTCTCTCTCTCTCTCTCT